ATTTATTTATTTATTTTGACGTATGATTTGTTCAGGATTGGATGGAGTGGTTTCGGTTTTCCAAAACAAAAATAATGTGATGCAGACAACAAAGTCTTGGGATTTCTTAGGCTTCTCTCAGAATGTCAAAAGAGCAAATAAAGAAAGTGACATAATTGTTGGAGTAATAGATTTTGGAATCTGGCCTGAGTCCGATAGTTTTAATGACAAAGGATTCGGTCCACCGCCAAGGGAATGGAAGGGCACTTGCCATAACTTTACATGCAACAAGTACATAATATTTATACACACACTTCATCGAAATAACCATTCATATATGGTATATTTTTTTCGTCAAAGAGTACCTAATCGTTTATTTAATCATGGTTTATATCTTGTTTGCAGCAAAATTATTGGAGCAAAATATTTTCGCATACATGGTACATTTGGAAATGACATCATATCTGCAAGGGATTCAAGTGGCCATGGTACTCACTGTGCATCCATTGCTGCTGGGAACTTAGTTGAGTCCACAAGTTTTTTTGGACTTGCCTCAGGAACAGTGAGAGGTGGAGTTCCATCAGCACGCATTGCTGTGTACAAACCTTGTTGGTCCTCAGGTTGTTATGATGCTGACATCCTTCAAGCCTTTGATGAAGCCATTGAAGATGGTGTTGACATCTTCTCCATTTCCCTAGCACCTAGAACGGTAGTATTCAGCGACTATTTCGAAGATGTATTCGCCATAGGGGCTTTCCATGCAATGAAGAAAGGGATATTAACATCACATGCTGCTGGTAACTTTGGTCCAGATCTTTATACAATATCTAGTAATGCACCATGGTTACTTTCTGTAGCTGCCAGCACTATAGACAGAAAGTTTTTTACTCGTGTTCAGTTGGGTGATGGCACCGTCTACGAGGTAATTGAGTGCAATATTATTTTATTCTTGCAATATACATACATAACATTTAATTTCTAGTAATAGTTCATCTATGTTTTTCCTAATTATGTATCACATCTTCTAACTTTTTCTAGCTTCATTTTTCTATGTTGCCTTGTTATATATTTCTCTCTTGAGACTTGTTTGTAAGAATGTTTTGGAATAAAAAATAATAATTAAGTTAATTATTTTAATATAAAAAATGAAATTCATTTATATATACATACATAGTGTGAGTTTTAAAATAAAATCATTGTTTTAAATATAAGTTGTTGAGTGTAACTTTTATTCATATTCCAATTAGAAAAATGACAAAATTACTTAAGGGGACATATATTTTTAAATCACCAGTAAGTATGTAAAAATTAATGTATTATTTATCCTTAAATTTGAAGAGTTTTCAGGACGATTTTTTTAAGTTAAATTATAAATAAATATATTTTTATTCATTTTAGAGATAATTTGCTTACAATATATGTAGGTATAATTTATTTAACATAGAAGCTTGGCTAATATACAGGGAGTTTCAATAAATTCATTTGATCTGAACAATGAAAGTTATCCGTTAATTTATGCCGGAGATGCACCCAACTTAACTGGTGGACACAATAGTTCTGTATCCAGGTATAATGCAACTATATATCATTATTATCTTCTTCTCTTTTTTTTTCTTGTTTTTCATATTTTTTTGGTAGAAAGTTATAATTTTTTAGAGTTTAATTAATGAGAATGCACTACTAATATAAAAGCGCGACTTTTACATTGTGAATCAATTAGAAATTAATATTAATAAGATTTTTATATTAATTATAATTAAAGTCAATATACTTATCATACATAACGATTTACAATTGAATGGTGATATAAAATTGTTTTACAATGTAATGCATAACCTATTATTTCTCTCTCGTTATGGATTCAATTCTAACATTATATTTACTTAGGTTTTGTGTCGAAAGTTCATTAGATGAAGATTTGGTGAAGGGGAAGATTGTTTTATGCGATATTTCTGAAGGTACTTCATTTGAGGGATTGATTTCTAAGGTAGCTGGTATTCTTGTAAGAAGTATATCGCCGAAAGATGTCTCAGACATATTTGCATTGCCAATGGTTAGCCTTACCCAAAAAGATGGGATACTCATACAGTCTTACATAAATTCAACAAGGTACGTTTATTTTTCTGCAGTTAGGATCATATATAGTTCATGCCAATTTCTTTATTCTTCAATACACGTGATTAATTTATATGATATCATTTTTGGTTACTATAGTAATCCAACAGCCATTATATTTAAGAGTAATGAAGGCAAAGATTCATTATCCCCTTACGTGGCTTCATTCTCATCTAGAGGTCCAAATGCAATTACTTCAGACATTCTTAAGGTAACTTCATATAATAATATACATAACATGGAAATTTTCCATTTCCATATTACTTTATTCCATTTTTCCTATTTTTGTAGCCTGATCTAGCTGCTCCAGGAGTTGGCATTTTGGCTGCATGGTCTCCAATTGCTTCTGTTTCTATGTCTAAAGATGATAAGAGAAAAGTAAATTATAATATACTGTATGGTACATCAATGGCATGCCCTCATGTTACTGCAGCAGCTGCCTATATCAAATCATTTCATCCTGATTGGTCTCCGGCAACAATCAAATCAGCATTAATGACTACTGGTAATGAGTAATCTCAATTTCTAAATCACATAATTATAATTTTTTTTTTCTTTTGTGAAGCTTAGTTTTCAATTAAGGAAATATATAACCATCTAGGGCATGTTTGTTTTACATTTTAGTAAAATCAGTTTGCGAAGATGTAGTGATAAAAAGTTATCCTATATTTAAGAATGATATTAAAAGAAAATCTAGAAATATTATAATACAATAAAACCCTTTGAGTAAATATAACTATGTTTTTGCCAATAATTAATTCCATCCATTTAAATGCTAAACTTTCAGTCATATAAATATATTTATGCGTTATGATGACCAATATTTTTGTCTCGTGATGCAGCTACCCCAATGAGTTCCGCACTTAATCCTGAAGCTGAATTTGCTTATGGTGCGGGACAAATTGACCCTATTAAGGCAGTGAGTCCTGGCTTAGTATATGATGCCAATGAAATTGATTATGTCAAGTTTTTGTGTGGCCAAGGTTATGATGCTAAGAAGATAAGAACTATTACAGCTGATAATAGCAGTTGTACACAAGACAACATTGGAACCGTTTGGGATCTAAATCTCCCATCTTTTGCGCTCTACATGAACACCTCAACACCTTTTACTCACGTTTTTCATAGAACTGTTACCAATGTTGGATCCGCTACATCAAAATATAGAGCTAGAGTAACTATACCTCCTTCCTTGTTGAACTTTAAAGTGGAGCCAGATGTTTTGTCCTTTTCATCTGTGGGTCAAAAGAAGTCATTCACTCTTACCATTGAAGGGATAATTAATGTGGGTATAGTTTCTTCTTCTTTGATTTGGGATGATGGCACTTTCCAAGTAAGGAGCCCTATTGTTGTGTACTTTGAATAAAAACAATTTCCATGTAAGGAACCATGTTATCATGTAGTATGCATGACAATATTTTCCATGTAAGGACCCTATTGTTATATATGTTGAATAAAATATTTTGAACTTAATAAAACTTTGAAGTACTCATGAAATCTAAGTATGATTTGTGTTAATTATTTAAAATTAGAGTTAAATATGTTTTTAATTTTTATAAATGTAAGTTTTTTTTTTTTTACTTCGGCCCAAAAAGTTTTCTTGTTTATTAATTCTTGTAAATTTTAAAAGCATTAGAAAAAGAAAAATTCTACACGTTCTGAAATATGTTCCGAAACATGTTCCAAAACTTTAAGAAAATAATTTAAATTATAAAATATTAAATTAAATAATTATTTTATAATAAAATTATTTAAAATATAAATATTTTATACATTTGGACGCTGATTCGAAACTTTTTCTTCGGTCGATGAAGCAATTTTCTTAGAAAAATTCACATTATTGATAGTATAGCAAGAGGATAATTATGACACCTCATAATGATGATGACAATTATTTGTGTGTTAAGTCACCCGTTAACAATAATAGATATTATTTTTTAAAAAATTATGAAAATTAAAACTAAGAAAACAAATTTCAACGGCCAAAAGCAATTGAAGATATTCATAGGTAACGCAAATAAAATTGTCGTAGATTAATGGTGAAAAGAAATTAGAAATTATTTTCATAATTTAACTTTTGGAGTCGTGACTAAAATTTATTTAATTGAAAAATACTTGGAAAACACTTTTAATGGAAAGAAAATGCTCTATGAAAATTAAGTTAGGTTTGGAACTCAATTATGCATTGAAAAAGAGAAAAACTTAATCCTAGACACTCGTAATGCATCCATGAAGATGGTTGTTTTATAGTTTTCTTTTTTCTTCCTTCTGTTGAGGTTGCAGGTATCATTTACTAGTGGCTACTGAAACTGAGTAACATTATATTATGGGTTATAAAGTTTGTTGAACAAAAGACTTGATAAGTCTATCTCCAACGAATTTTATGATAAGTGACTTTAAAAAAGTTTATAGTAATATTGATCTTTATCTATTATAAATGATAAAATCAAGTATTTTGATTGAAATGTCTTATTTATGTTTTTTCAAATAAGGTACCCAACTATGTGTTGAACCAGAGAAAAAATGTGTATAATATTTTAGTTTTGATGATAATAAAGTGATGTCATTGGTAGATTAATATTTGTCCAAATCATTTTAAGAATCGTGTTTCTAAACACATAGAAAGAATGAAGAATAAAAATGATTTTATAAATAATCATTTTCTACAAACACGTAAAACTTAACTAGTGAAACACTTAGTAATATAGGCTAGTCATCAGCAGTTGCGTCCAACATCCAATGTGTTATGACCAATGTTGCGTCCTTAAGTATCCATGACTCCAATGCTTGTTGAAAGTTTACGCACCAAAAAATAGACTTATAAACATTCAAATTCAAGGGTTTATAGGTGCCCTGATAATTTGTGTTTGCTACAAATGCTTTAATACTTTATTTACTCTTTTAGTATACGCCCAAAATGGTATAGTAAACTAAAACTAACCAAGTGTCTAGAAAAGGAAAGTTAATTGCAAAAATGATTGTGAACGACTAAAGGAGTGTGTTTATATTGAGCCTTCTCTACTTCATTTCCTTATAATGCCAAAGCATTAATAAAGCCCTAAAGCATATGACCAAGTGTATTACATCAAAAGGTAATCTTAAATCCCTCAGAATATAAATTTTAATGTTAATAAACTTGAACCTTTTTTAAAGAAATATTTTTCTGACACATAGAAAGACAAACTTAAATTGACGATTGGTTACAATGATGTGTAGTTTACCAAATCCAATCACTTTAAACAAATGCATTATATATATATATATATATATATATATATATATATATATA